GGTCCACATAATCCTAAATCTGTAATATAACAACCACCTCCTTGCAATAATATATTACCACTATGTAAATCACAATGTACTAAACCTTTTATATGTATAGCATTTAATGAAAGACACAAATAATAAAAGATTATAATTCTGTCTTTTAATGTTAAATTTAAATGATTTTGTTGTAAATAACTCCTTAAATTTCCATCTAAATAATTTAAAACTATTGCATAATTTCCATTATCTGAGAATTTAGTTATACCATAGCAAGGAACAATCATATGTGATTTAATTTTACAATAGTTTATTGCCTGAAAATAAATACAAAATCAATTAGTATTATATAATACTATATTGTTTTATTTGTTTTAAATGACAACTACCAACCTCATCAAAAAAGCCTTTTCCTGGATTACTTGAATTATTTAAGCTTTTTAATGCTACTAGTTGCCTTCCAAAATAACTAAATTTCTCTTTATTTTCGTCATAATCATTTATTGTTCCTCTTGTCCATTCCGCAGTATAAATTGAACTAAATCCACCTTCTGTCAATTTTGTTACTTTTTCAAATTGCTCAAAAGGTATCCATTCTAAAATATATTTTGGAAGAGATGATTTCATTTGACATTGTTGAATAAAATCATCAATTATGTTATTTCCAGATGTCCAACTAGCAAAACGACTCTGTAATTGTAAATTAATACAACCTTCACAGAATCTATCTGAATATCTTGTTAATTTACACTTGTTACATTCTTTTGGTTGGCCTGATTTATCTCTTGCATTAATTAATTCAAAGTCATAAATAAACCTTTCTTTACAATATTCTTTTTCATTTTCAGAAAGCTCCTTGTTTTTCTTGACTAATGAAAAAAAATAATCTTTTCTATTTTCTTTATCAGAATTAGCCTCTGCATTACTATGTATTTCGATATAAATTTTATATACAAATTCCCTTCTTTCTGGTTTAGGATGTGACATTATATAAAAATATATAATATAAAATTCAACTTGGTATTTTGATGAATAGAGTGAAGATTTTTATTAACGTAAGAAAAAAACGAAAATAAAATGATGTAACAATTATCCGTTTCAGGAATAATCATTGATTTTTTTAAAATAAAAAAAGCAATATAATGAAATAAATAAAGTTTACAAAAAAAGGATTTTACTGTTTTACAAACAAAATTGAAGGCGTTGTATAGAAGTACTTAATTAATTTAATAATTAATATTAAATATTTAATATTATATATTTAATGTTTAATAAACATAATTTTTTGGGAAGCATGGAATTAAAAAAACAAGGTGGATGTTATTGAAAATGGTTTTTTCATATGC